CGTTGTACTATGTTAAATGTGTTAATGCCTTTAGGAAGGTTTTCGAATAGGTTTCGTAATGAATGACGATTTATTTCTTATAGAGGCATAATAAATTTGGGTATTGAGTCAAATGTATTATTGTGCTATTAAGTACAAAAATACGTATAGGTCCTTTTGGGACATTCACTGGCCAAATGTGCTAAGGTAAAAGATAGGTAAAAATTATCGGTTTAAAGTTGCCTTGATGGAAATGATTCGATGAAAATTCCTTATTGTATTAAAAGTAACGTTTTAATAATGTAAATTGCTTTGATCAACTTTTACATTCTTCCTTTTTCAATCTAACTTGTTCCTTCTTTTCTGGTTCTTTTAGAAACACTTCGATTACAAGCAACACGCGAACAAAGCCTAACTTTAAAAGTTTACGAAATATTACGTTTACACACGGGAAGTCTGAGAGAGCAAGGTGGGTGTAGTATAAGTTCCGTTTCTTACATTTCACAATGTTTCTGCATTGTGCATCAGGAAGCCACCCAAAAACTAGGGTAACGCTAACACATCGAACTACGCCGCAGCCACTGTATTAAGCTAAACGTGCTATAAAAATAGTAGAAATATCCGAGAACGACCTTACGAGATTTTAGCCGAGGCACACCGGTGAGCAGATATGTGAAGTTCCCAACTGATTTACCTCTAGACTTTAACACATTTAACACGTTTAGCACAGTTTGCCTGACCCTTACTCCTAACTTTCAAATTGTAAGAAATAACAGAACAATTCTTCTACATTTTTCTTTCCATTCTTTAGATATACAAGTAGACATTTTACACCAATAAACTCCAAGCCTAGACATGAAAGTATTATATACTTTTCTCGAGAGGAAGAAAAATAATTGTTATGAAATTAAAATATGAATGGTTTATATTATTAACTGTTAACAGGCTTGTTTTGATGTATGAATCAAGATATTTTCATTAACTAATTAATTTTTACGTAATAATATAATGTAAGTCATACTACAAATTTGTTACTGTTTCAAAATAATTTATTTTTAGGGTCGGAATTTCGTTAGGGAAATAATGAGTGTGGGAATCACAGACTGCGCTTACAGGAGTTACAGGACCTGAGTAAAAAAACTTGTTTGTCAACAGATTTTCCCTTCCTTCACAAATCACTCATGGGTATAAACATCCCCAAGTCATAAGTCTAGTCATTTAGATAAGTTAGCCGATAAACTAGGTGGGGGGGGGCACAAGCGGCAAAGTTTCCGACTTAAACGCAGGATCAATTCCGCACTGGTCCTCCCCTTTACTGGCCGTCGATATTTATTTATAAATAGAAAATTTTAATAAAAGCGCAATAAAATCTTCTCGGCAAAACAACCCGCGAATCGAGTAAAACTGTGAAATGTGAATGCCTTTTAGTTCCATCAAACTTAGATAGTGATGAAATATTAATATTGAAACAGCAATCCAGGTAATGGAAGATTCTCTCTCCCACATCCTGATTATCAAATCTTTAAAATTATTTGATATAAAATTAGCGCTAAAGCCGACAAAGCAATCGTACGTGGAAGTGAATTAATTAAGTAGGTTAAATAAATTAATTTTTTAACGATAATAAATTAGGGTTATTTTATCGGAGGAATGACTCAAGTGACAAAATGTCGATGTTGAGGTGACGCACACGGTTCACAACCTCACGGCTCGATATTGACATTTAAACCATTCCTTCCTTTCTAGCTACCGGCGTTAGATTCTTGTTAAGAACGTCAATCCGATCTGATAATATCTTTACACTTAATACGTGAGATTATCCTTGCGGAACGGCTTCTTTAAATCAATTCTCTTTTTCACGACCCTGCAATTTAACCCGGTGAGGTGTTCTTTCATTCCCAGAAGCCGATTTACACGGGGCTGACTCACTTTTCATCGACGTTGAATGTTTCACACGGTTGTGTGTTGTGAGAATTAATTGGAATAATCGATTAAATGTTTTGTTTTATTAGTAGATGTATTTCGCAACGTGGCACTCGCAATTTTCTGAACGAGAGTCCTTGGGGTTCGTGTGTTTTCCCTGTACTTACAGGCTGGCGAGATGACGCATTTTTCCTGACCTGATGACATCGAATAAATTAAATCACAACAAATCAAAAATCTCGTAGATATGCTGACCAGAGGGGTAAAGATTGGGGAGCTGAAGTTAAAATTTTACTATATATAGATGACATTATCCTTGCGGAAAATCCACATCTTCAAATAAAATTGACAAGCTAGAATCACACTGCGAACTTTTGAGGTTGAAATTCAACCTGGAGAAATAAAAATTTTGGTATTTCGCAATGGAGGTAGACTCGTGAGGATGAAAGCCGGAAAATACCAGAACAAAAGGGTCACAGTAGTTAATGAGTACATGTATTTGGGAGTCACTTTAACCTAAGTTGTCCTTCAAAAAAAATATAGTTGAAAAAGCAAAAACTGCAAAGTTTGCACACCATCTGAAGTGGAGCTATCACACACTCGTCAGTTCCTTTAAGTGCTAAATTGCAAGTGTTAACTCAGCTTCTCAATCGATTCTCTGTTACACTTCCCAGATTGGGGTTGACATGTTTCCTAGAGGTAAAAGTTCAATGGTTTTTTGTTCGCAAATTATTTTACCTTCCCTATTTCTCTCCAACTTATAAATTCATGCTAAAAAACTGAGCTAGACCCAATATATTGTAGTGGGAACGCACGGTACCCGTTAGGTGTCACTACCTGTTCTGGAATGTTCTCGTTCTCCACTCTGCAGCGTATACAAGCATGGGCACTGCCCCACTGGTTTCAGACTCGTCTACTCGACGAGATCTCACCAATACCAAGGGTACTCTCAGCGTTAAACCTCGAATCGGCACTCGCCAACTGCTGTACCAGAGTCCTTTCAGTTTTCATTTTAAATTCGCAACTTTAAATACATAACGAGAGTTATAGGTTTACCAATGTACAGGCTTCCGAAGATCATGGCGTGTGAAATGTGTAAAAAAGGGCTATTCTGGCACTTGGGGGCAATGGAAGGCACTAGTTCGTAAAAACAATGATTCCAACGCTATCCTTGAACCTAATTTTGATTTGTGTGACACTCGCGTACTTAAAACTAACCTCTATTATTTAATTATATCGGCTAGAGTATCCCTAAGGGAAGGGGATTCAAGATGTCCCAACATTGCAGGGTACTAAATCCGAATGTAAAGTGTGCAACCTGGACTGGAAAAAACAAGCAAAATTAGATCCTAGATCCATCAGATGGTTGGTGAAGTTAAGGGGCGAGTTGCTTAACTTGAACTACAAACCGTACCACGCTTCTTAACGAGAAGAATGCCGTCTTTGTAACTTGAAAGCAACGGAGGACATTTTCCAGTTTATAGCTATTCTTTCTGAATAAAGAAGATTATTCCTCGAGTGCAGTGTATTTACAAGAAAAGAATTTTTAAGTTTGTTGGATGGATCTCATTGGGCTGCATTGGTACGATACCAGGGCAACCTGGTTGTACAGGAGTCATTATGTTGAATGATAACATTGTTTTATTATATTATTCCACGTCTTTTTTTTTAAAGGCACCGACAACTTGGTTATTTCAGCCCCGAGCGCAAGCATAATGCGCAACAACACACCATACTCACACAAATAAATACATACACACCTAAATACATTGCATTCATTCTATTTAGTAGATCTAGTACTCAATATTCCTACATCAAACTGCATACAATAACAAACTAATATAATTGGGGTCGATAGGGTACTTTTAGAAATATTCCGCCATCGATTCAAGTCACGTACACAACTCGAGGGGCGATGGGGATGCTATTTCAACATCAGCCCCTCCCCATTCATTCTAATAAATACACTCATTCATAACATCAAATACAGAAACACAAAACGCATATTTTGACGGATGTATATAATAAAAAATTCTCAATTCCCCTAGAAAGCGGAACAGGGGACCCAGAAACTACTGTGTCCGAGAACCATTCTTAAATCCGGCGGCATACCTACACGCTCTCTGTATGGAGCCAAGGCCGGCACGCCTGTATTATGTGGGGCACATCGAGTAACCTTTCTCTACAAAAGGGGCACCTGCGCGTATTTTTTTATTCTTATGTGTATACTGATTTTCCCTTCTTATTTGTAATCTTGTTTATCCTTATTTCTTCTACTTAATCTATTTTTATTGTGTTTATTGCATTTAACTAATTGATTATATTAGTTTCTTTTTAGTTTTTTTATTTGTTTAAGGAAAATTTATACTTTTGTTAAAGTTTACAAAAATGTATAATCAGAGAGGTTTGTATTATTTCGCAATGTATAAAATTATTTAATTTATTACAATAACTTAAGGTTTTTAGTTGAGATGAAAAAAAGCTAATGGCACGAGAGGGATTCGAACCCACGATGAGAGTTGATGTCCGAGCGGATCGAGGTCACGATAGCTCAGGTGGTAGAGCAGCGGCGTATCTAGCCGAAGGTCGTGGGTTCGAATCCCTCTCGTGCCATTAGCTTTTTTTCATCTCAACTAAAAACCTTAATTTATTGTAATGATTTAATTGGTCAAGCGGACCACGAAATTAGGGAATTATTTAATTTGTTTATATATTTTACTTTTCTGTTATTATTATCATCGTCATGATTACTATTACTTTCTTCTCACCACCTTCCGGCAGACAGAGTACCCATTATTAAGTACATTTATGTTAACATTATTGTAACAACAAATCCAAACACACCGCCGATGATGGCGAGAATCCGAACTGGTCTGCCAGACCAAAACATCGAGAGTATGCGACATAAAATAATCTGAAACAACCAAACGACAGGTCTATGCTAGCTGAACCGAAGAACACGGTATTCTGGTTTCTTTGTCGTCTTGGAATTTTCTTTTATGTTAAACAAGCATCCACCGTGACGCATAACTAACTATATTTTTTTTAATGTACTGCTGCATGCTTTATACCAATTATACCACTTATAACAGATCGCGCTTAAACGCAGAACCGAGAACACAAATAGTCACCTTGTTATTGTCTAAAAAAAAACATATGGAACTTTATTTTGGATAATTAAAAATAAATAGAATAAATGTTGCCGCGGCTCTTAACTTTTGGCACTTATTTGTTAATATATGGCTATTTTTCAGCCGTCCTCGGCAGCGATCACGCATGCTTTATCTGCAGGGCAAACGGCGAAGAAAATAATCTGGAGTTGGAGTACCAGTTCCCGGGGATTAAGCCGCCTGTTTGCATAAGAGGTATCACGCCAACGGCCATGGCGTGTCCTCCGAAGTACAAAGGATGCGTCACACAGTACCGAGGTGAGCAAACTGACTGATACTGGGGGTGATACCAATAAGTGATGAGAAATGTATAATTTTACGTTATAACTTTAAATATAAACGTAACCAAGGGATTGTAAATATGACCGCTCGTTCCCTATGATAATCTGATCCGCCCGTCCTCGCTTTCTTCGGCCAGACGCTAATTTCAATGTTTGAATAGGCTGTGATATCTGTAAACACTTTAAGCGGCTTTGAAAGTTTGGCACGACTCTGACCGCACTATGCTAAACCAACATAGACTCATTTTCAGCTGGAGAAAACCGGTTTTGAAAACACACCTTTATTTTCTTGACATATTTATTCTTTATTCAAAAATAAAATGGAGGGTAAAAGAAAGAAAACAATCTTTTAACCACATTACACAACCACACTTATACTTTATAATTTAAGGGTAAGAGGGGAAAATGTATCCTCTTCAATACATTCATATAGTTTGAGCTCAATTTACTCTTTTATTCTTTTCTAAGTACTCAAGGGTCTTAAACTGCTCCTCTTGTTTAAATGGAACAGATGATATTGACAGTTTTCCTCTTGAGGTCTTCTGGATAATCTATCTTGGCCGATTCCCATAATTTCGGTCCGTCTATCCTCACTGTTTTTTTTGTCAAGCCCGTTTCGGCCTCTCATCTAGTCGCGACGGTGCCTCGCCCTGCTTATCACCCTGACCTGATTAAAACCCTTTTCTAACGTAAAAAATGTACTAGAATAAGTATAACAACTTATTTAAATGATGATGGCAAAAGGCAGAAACACGACTTACATACCAAAACAAGTGGATCAAAATGATCAGACACGATCAAGCTTCATTTTTTATTGTTCAAGTTGATAAATAATTATTAAAGAAATAATTTTTTTCTCAACTCATACATTTGATGTTTAACTATTCCACACGTGATTAAAATATCCTAAGTCAATAAAATACACAATCATGCTATTTAAAATATTATCTAACCTAAGTTTGGCGGGTTTCAACAGTCCTTGATATATTGCTGAAGACTCGTACAATTACACAAAAATTATGAGCAGCCTAAACCAAAAGTTGGGAGCCTGGAAAGATTTTCACCTTATATCCTCCCTTCAATCACGCGAATAAATGCATTCAAACACTGTAAAAATTGTGCATTCACTATCCTAAGTTAATCTAATTTTGGTTCAACAGGTCTGTGCATATTCGATATTCTACACAGACCATGTCCATACAAACTTAACCACTCGTGCAAATAAACACATTTGTCAACAGAGTTTTGATATTACGCCAGTACCCTCAATAAATAAATTGATATTTAACTACACCGGCATTTTATGTAATTATGATATGATAGATTATGTGATGTTATTGAGTTTTTCAACACTTACCAAACAAATTGTGGTAGTTTTATTAGCCATAATTATATTTTAAAAAAGATTGATATAATAATTTTCTGGTTACTTATTTGTATAAGATTATAATAAGCTATCTGAATGTTGATTATTGCAATAGAATAAAGTTACACTTAAATTTTCATGTAATGTTATTTTTTTAAATTACTGATTTTATACTTTTCCTGGAAAGTATAAAATAAATTATGATCAAACTATCAAAATGTAGTCCAAGGCCAGACTAAACTCTATTTTCTTATAATTCTTTTTATTATTTAGTTATAAATTTATAATATTGGATGTAATCTAGCCGATTGTATTACAATAGACTATTTTAATAAAATAATTCTAATAACTTCCAAGGAAAGCATTTTTACTGACAAAATTAAGTCTGGACATGACTAAAAGAAATAAATTGCTCAGTTTAGGTCATTAGGCGAATCATATTTTGTATGGATGGTGGTTTGGTTAAATAGCAATGAGTTGATGTTTAATTTTTAAAGCATACCTCAAATGACAACAAATTTTTCAAAAATAACAAATTTATGTATGAAGTGCGAAAGGCCTAAATGCTAGACCAAAACAGCTAGAACAGGATGATCTAAATGATTGGAAATGATCTAGTTATACAGATCACTCTTAATTTTTTTAACCTAATTATTTAGTTGATGATATAAATTGATAACAATAGATGTAATATTGCCAATGTAATGCTATGTGTCTGAATCCCAATCTGTATTTTCTCTTTTAAGCAGGATCTATTTTAATAAAATTAATTATTAATTTATATCCAAGTGAAGCAGTTTTGCTGTGACAAAATTCAAATTGGTCACTACTAAAAGAACTAAATTGCTCAGTTTACGTACAATTAAATACTAAAATGCCCAATTGAACACCACAACAGCATTGATAGTCATTAATCGAATTACATTGACAGTGGTTTCCTTGATTGACATTACAAGTTGAAAATTAATTTTTGAAGCATATTTTTCTAAAATTACATCAACTTATGTATTATAAACATGGATGCATTTCATTTCACAGAAATTAAGTTAGCTAGCATTTTACACTTACTCATTCAGGTATTGTTAATTGAACTGTTAATGAAGCTTTTGTGATAATATTAATTGCATCAAATAAAAAGTGTATTAATTGATTATGAATTTGGACGTTAAATAATCAAGCTATCATTTATAATAAATATTCCTCAATGTGCACACTATTTCTCAGACAATATTAAAACATTTTACCAGCAGTGAACAGGTATGTTTACATGTTTACACAGCTTATCACCGATAATTGCAGCTCTTATGGTGTAGAATTCCATCGTATCAGGGTAATTTTATCTATCACTCCTGGCTTAAAAAAAATTGTGGGATAAGCTGCCCAAAAATTTAATAAAAAATTTTTTGACTTTTTTTTAAAGAAAAACCCGATATGTTAATGATGATGTTTAATTAAATTATAGTTTCATTTTTTTAGGTAAGGGGCACTGGTTATATGATAATTCAAAACCTTTGTCATTGACAATGTTTAGAAAAAAAGCACAATTTCCGGAAATTTAAGTTCAAAAGAAGAAAATTGACAATGTTTTTCTAAACTGTTCTGTTTGTCAATAAGAAAGGATCTTCTGTGGAAAAAATATTCAATGCTGTGTCTCCTCCAAAATTAGCCAATATGATTTGTAAAAGTACTGACAAAGAAAACAAACCTTATATTTTTATTAAAACAAAAAAACCTTAAAACTACAAACTACGATCACAAATTACTGAAATATCTTTCCAAATTAAATATCACAAGGTTTCTGATCATTCTAAATTGAAGGAATTATTTTAATTGTTATGAAATTTCATTGCATTTGCAAGTTTAACCAACAACCACCAGATGAAGATTTAGAAAATCTACCCAACTTTCTGTTAACAGTTCCCTATAGATTAATGCAAATATTCACGAGTATATAAATATGACTTCTTTCTCAATTTAAATAAAATAATGCTTTACTTTCAATAAAATAGAATGATTTGAACTACTTAAGACAGGCAATTCTACTTAGAAAAGAATGTCTATAAAGAAGAAATTAATTGAATTATAAATATTTTGTGTGGTGTTTAGTGTCAGTTAGTCAATGATTATTCGCAGATCGTGAGATGCAGTCTGATGTGACGTAGGTTTTGGTATGGTATGGTATGGTAGAAAAGGATACTAGGAAGCGGGGTTTGCACTCCCCGGGCACTGCAGCCCTCTGGCTTATTGTACCTTCCCAGTTCCCTAGTTTAGTCAATAGACTCAATCCTTCTTCTCAGAAGCATCAAGTCATTGACTGTTATTGCTGCAATTTGGTTCCCTGTGTCTTTTTCGTACGCTAGGTTAAACCTCCATTGAGCTGTTGCTTCGCATTCGAAGATGATATGAGTGGCTGTTTCCTCCTCCTCATTACATAATCTGCAAATGGGGTCATCGCTGTATATACCCATGTTGTGTAGATGTTTTCTCAGATACCAGTGACCGGTTAGTAGTCCCACCACTCCTCTGAGTTTTGCCCTCTCCAATTGCAGCAGTGTTTTTGCCAATTTTGGTGAGGGTTGTTTCAGCATAAGTTTACTATGTCTAGCACCGCTAGAGTTTATCCACTTCTCTCTTTGTTTTGTTTGGATCCATTCTGCGATGGAGGAATCTATGTTTGTTTTTGTTATCCCAAGGATAGGTTCGGGGCCTATGTATGGTCTTGCAGATCCTCTTCTGGCCAGTTTGTCCGCCTCTTCGTTACCCAGAATTCCCCTGTGCCCTGGCACCCAAGATATCATCAGGTTGTTGTGTTCTCCCAGGTTTTGGAGATTTTGGATACATTCACTGACTAGTTTTGATGTAATTCTTTTACATGCCAGTGCTTTAATAGCTGCTTGACTGTCTGATCTTATGAGGATTTTTTTGTCAGTGTAACCTCTTTTGAGATTTTCCAGGACACAAGCATTGATGGCATGTATTTCTGCTTGAAAGACCGAAGTATACTTCCCTAATGAGTTTGATTGCTCATATTTTGGGCTTGTACAGAAAACGCCTGATCCGGTTCCTTCGTTTGTTTTGGAGCCATCCGTATACCATGTCATTGTATCTGGTGCTTTCCTGTGTTCTTCCTCTCCTTTATAGTCTGTTGAGACTTTATAGGAAGTTGTGAAGATTGTTTCCGGGATCATGTAATCAGTCCCCATTTCTAAAAATGGGTGTCTGATTTTATTGATTATGGTTGTATGCCCGAATTGTTTGGTTCCTTTCCAATTTAATTGTTTTTGGAGCGTAGGTTTTAGAAAAACATTTTCTTTATCGTGCCAACATTTCTATCTTTATTGAGATCATCTTCAGGGCTAAAAAGTGGTTGTTACATGGCACACAAGAATGATACAATTACACAGAAAACAAACATTTGAGCCCTGAAGATGATCACAATAAAGATCAAAATGTTGGCAAGACAAAGAAAATGTTTTTCTAAAACCTACGTCACACTAGACTGCATCTCACAATCTCCGAATAATCCTTACAAATATTCACTAGTTTTCGTGATCCGTTTGACCAATTAATTATCTTTCAATTAATTAAGGTTTTTAGTTGAGATAAAAAAAGTCAGTGTCATGAGCGTGTCAGTGTCATTTTTAATTAATTGAAAGATATTAATTGGTCAAGTGGACCATGAAAACTAATGAATTTAATAAGTTAAAATGAAGTATATCTTCACTAAAGCTCTCCATGGCCATTTCATTTTTCGCCGAGAATCAAATAGATTACACGACATTTGAAAAATTGGCAAAAAGGAGGGAAAATTCAAAATGTGCGATTGAGATGGGAAGTTAGAGTCAGAGTGGATCGAAGTCACGATAGCTCAAGTGGTAGAGCAGCGGCGTATCTAGCCGAGGGTCGTGGGTTCGAATCCCACTCCTGACATTGACTTTTTAATCAACACAACTAAAAGCTTACAAATATAGATGAATCTTTATTGTAATATTACTATTTTTGGCCTTATTTAGAAAGTTTAAATGCACTACATTTTGGCAATTTGTAACGAAAGTTATAACTGGTCATGATAAGTCCTAAAATAACTAAAATATATTAATATATTGAAGTATGAAATTTCTCCGTTTGATCTGTGGGGTGATGAACTTGTAATTTGGTCATTACCGATAATTTTTGCCTATCCTCACTGGGCGTTCAATATCAATTTAATCTTTATTGATACAACAAACAGAAAAATTCAAAACAAATGTACCATTCTAATTTTTTTTTCTTTTAGGTGTCAATATGGTAAAAGCCTGTGGAGAAGTTGCAATAGATTCATGCAACATTGTGAACAGGGTCGAATATTGTTATTGCAAGGGAAGATTGTGCAATCGTAAAGACAAAGCAATATCAGAATTGACGGTATTCGAAAAAGAAAAGCCTTCAGATGATGAAGACCTAGAAGAAGGAAGTGGCTCGGAACCTCCAATAAATCCTGGTCAAACTCAATTGAGATCATCATCATCGGAAAACTTGTATCAACACTCCTCATCGTTAATTGCAATACTTATATTTGCACTCTAGTCTAATAAACATTACAAGCACCCTACATTAAGGACCAAATGTGTGCCAAATATAATACAGAAAAACATTATAAAATAATGTTTATTATTTAGATATGTTTATGTAAAGGTGATGACTAGTAAGTAATAATTTACTTTTTAGTATTTATCTGGAGAACACATTTACTGTAAGTCTTTTGCACAACACCAAAACGTGTATACAGACTTACAATGAGCCTAAATTTTGCAGTGTTATTTGTACATTTATTAAATAAAGACATGTCGTATTATATAAGAGACATCAGCAAAAAGTAAATATTAGAAAGGATTTCTCTTTGTACCTGAAGAAAAATGGAATGACCATTTTAAGTGAATATTTCTAATTTTACCTAAAATATAATGATCACCCAAATGTAGGGCTGTTCAATTCATTCAATCATTGTAATTTATAAGCTAAAATATAAGACTATGTTCTAGGTTTATTATAAAACATTCCAGTAACTACATTGTAATACTTGTTACTGGTATTTTTTCTCTCTAATATTTCATTCCAAAAACTTAATTTTAAATTTATGTATGATGTATTTATTTGTTATGTTTGAGAGTTGAAAATTATCTAGTCAAAATGTTATTAAAATATTTGACTCCTTGTTTTTTTATATGTACCCCTACCTAAAACTGTTAAGAATTTAACTTTTATGTTAGTCTTAGTATTTTAAAGTTGAACAATTAAATATTGTAGTTTATAAAAATGAATTGGTTATTCAAATTAAATGTTATTTATAACATAATTTACTTAGAGTAATTCGTACAGTAAGATTAGCTGAATATGTAGTCTGTTTTGTACAAGCAGAAATTTTCAAAGTTTAAAAACACTATACAAGACTTTTGATACCTTGATATATTTTTATAAACAACTTTCCCCATGTATTTCCATCTGAATTTGAGATTAGTATAAACTAGCATGGTTTACCATTTTTTAGTTGTCTAAATTTCAATGTCAACGGAGAATTACAGAGAACATCATCAAGTGAACCTTTCGATTGTACCGGCACCATATCGAGCAAATTTACTTGAATATTAAATTTGTATAATTGTAAAAGATAATACAATTAAAAAAAGAAAAAAGTTTTGTTATTCTATAAGAGCACATTTGAAGGAAAAATTACAAAGGAAATTGATCTTAAATGAAAAGAATCTGTCTTTTTTCATACATTGAATAATCGTATTAAATATATTCATAAATTAATATGAACAAGATAATATTTTTTTCATATGTCTTCACATTGTTAATTTTTTTGAATATTAAAGGCTGAAAACCATTTAGGCCATATTCATATTTTTTAACACATTATGCCAGAGGTAAGAGCAAGCATTGACAATGGGACGTATACAACGATCAATTTATCAAAGAAATTAATGAAATTGTATATGTTGACAATTCTTTAGTGTTATAGTAATATTTATGGCTTTATTGAGTAGGTTCACATTCACTAACTAAACAAAAACGCCATGGGATTTCTCTGTGTGGCCTGATGAACCTGTAATTTAGTTGTTATTCATCTTTTTGGTCTGCCTATCCTCAGGTATTTCCAGGCAATATTTCCATTGAAATATTACAAGGAAGAAGGGAATAAGAAAATTTATTAATTGAGATTATAATTTTATTATTGTAAATCTAATAAATTCATTATTGCCTGTATGTTGAAGTTATAAGATTTTGTTTCAAAATGCCAAAATATAGCCATTAGAGGTAGTCAATGTATGTAGTATACCTTCTAACAGATCAATTAGCAGCAGCTTTTCTTGTGCTTATAAAATTTATTTGAGTTAGTGTGCACATAAACAAGAGAGGCTTAGATGCACTGATTATCATCTGCCTCACAAATCCAGGGCTTATTTAATCCAAAGAGCGCACATGTCTCTACTAGCCCTAAAAAGGCAACAGTTTCCCAATGGGGTGGGTGATTCTCAAGGCCTGCTGGTAGTTTACTATAAATTACACAAAAGCTTGAATTGCCAGCGGACTACGAAAAGAGTTGGTTCAGCTCTGTACAAGTGTGTATGTATGTACATGCATGTACTAATATAAATTAGTAAACAATAATATTATTATTTTAATAATGGTGGAGAGCAAGCAGGTTTTCAAAGACTTGATTTTATCCTAGCAAAAATATTGTATTTTTATTTGTAATCTGATGTTAATTTGATGCTTTTTTCCACCAGGTTTGCATCCTGTTTTGAGTTAACATTATTTTATCAAAATGTACATATCGAATATAGAAAACTAGATAATTTTTGAACAGAAAAGCCAAAACTGGGAGATTTGTTCAGTAGAATGGTGAAAAATTGTGGACATTTAACGGTTCACCTCCTCGATTTTGGTATTCCCCAAAAAATTAGAAAAACTCATATTTTCAATATAAGGGGGTTGGAAAAATTTCAATCTTTCTTTTTTATAAGGTATACCTCTAATGAGTCGGGGGGGGGGACCATTGCTGACCTAGGGGAGAGTGGCAGATGCCATGGAGTAGGGTTGGCAGACTGGTGAGGGCGGACACGACTAGGCAAGGCGAGTGAGCAGTGAAAGAGCAAGGAAAAAGGCCAAGAAAACGAGAAAAATGAAGGGAATCCTTTTCTTTTCACAGTGTGGGAAACTGTCTTCTTATCTGGGACCAGCAATCATCAATACCAATCCGATCAGGAGCTAGGAGGATGGAGTTGAGATGAGACTTTTTTATTTTTTTAAAGAGAGAGCGAGAGATGGAGAGAGGATACTCCAGGAAGTTGTAATTTTTCTTTGTTTTGTTTGAGAGGCCTTTGTGTAATAGTTTTGGTAAATTAAACAGTAATTAATGAGAATTTTGTTTAATTTAAATTCATATCGTTTCATTTTTATTTATTTTGTAATTCCGACTGCTGACGAATGTATGTGTGATGGTTTTGAGTGATTGAAAAAGATGAATAGACGGGTCTGGTCAAGGAGGGTCATAGCTCAGGGGTCTTCAATTTTAGGCTAGGTGGTTCGTGGTTTGCGTGCACAGGGGGTTATTTTTTTGTAATTATTGTTGATTTTTGTTTTGTGATTTTTTTGGATTCACTATTTTCTCCGGATCAAATAGTGAGGCACCAAATGTAGTTCTGATTTCCCGGGAATTCCCCCTTCTCCACTGAGCGTCAGCGAAAGTTACCAATAAACATAACAAATAAATGCAAAATCAACATATTGATAGAAATACCTCTATAACTGTGGTTCTACCGTTTAGAGACTAAAGTTCAAATAAATTGAATAAAAGTTTTTATGTATTGATGAATTGTGATTTTCCTGTTTTATCAGACTTAACTTTAAGTTTTATATAAGATTAAATATTATAACTTACCATCGAATAGGATATCTTCGTAGTGAACTTTGTCTTTTTCCAACAGCTCGCGTTCCTTCTCTTCCCATTTTTTTCGCAACAGCTCCAAGTGCATGTCATGCGATATCATCTCCTTCTCGGCCAACTCCTCCTCAGTAATGTTAGGGTTTGACAAAATGTTCGCCGCTTGTTCTTTGTGCAAAGTCTTAGCTAGGACTCTGTCTCGGTCCTGCATCGATTCCAGATCTGACTTGTGACACTTCCTCGTCCTACCAAGACAATCCGTATACTCTACCCTGAAATAGAAAAACAAATTAAACTGAATAATCATCAAATGACTTCATACTCATAAAATAATTTACCAGTCTTCATCGACAAATTTATAACTGGGCCCGACAGGCATGCTGTCCCTTTTATTCTCATCAGCATTGTATGTATTTTCTCTGTTTTTTTCTGGATCACTTGCGAATTTTGAATAATCAGCATTTAGTGTAGGATCTATTTTGTCAATTGACCTGCTTGGCTGTGGTGGAGGTGATTTTCGACCAAAGTCAACTAAGTATCTTTCTTTTCCATCTTCTGAAATTAAAGCGCCACTCTGAAGCTTTTCATACAGCGAAGCTTTTATTTCCAAAACCTCTCTATAAAAAAAAGATATATATGTTATAAAAATTAATATTGGGTAAAATGTTTAAAATTACTTTGATTTCTTGAGCAAATCTACTTCTTCAGATGTTAGCTCTTGATCTTTTATGTTTCTTTCTTCAACCCCTGGATTGACTTTTGGCAGTGGTTTAGGTTTAGGAGTGAGTTTTACGTACGACTCATCACCTTTGATCTTCTTCGCTTCTTCCTGCTTCCTTGCAAGCTCTGCTTTCAAGCTTATCAACTAAATGAAATGACCAGAAATCAATACTAAAGTATTTATTAAACGGGAAAGAAATGGAGGATATTTTCATCTACATAGTTTTTATTATGTAGCCAGCATTTGTTTAGTTGGAACACAAACACGACAAAATTTCAATTTGTTATTGTCTACCGTTACTGTTTTAGTCTGCTGTTTTGGCGAGTGGGAATGGCACCTGAAAGTTGTGCTTAAGCAAGGCAGCGAGTATCTAGGTCCCCTTTTCTGATTTATATAGGAAACAAGGTTGTTTTGCTGTAATTAATACTTTATAGATATCTTGTCTTGAGTTTCTTTGTGTATGTTGAGACTGAATGTATTTATTAGTGTGAATGTACAGTGCGAGAGGGCTAATATTGAGACCCCATCATTTAGATTAGTTGTATAATAAATACTCAATTAATTAATTTAATAGAAGCTGATAAAATTTAGTATTAGTTGTATAATATGTGTAGAGGGTAAAAGGATGGTGGTATTATCCATATTGGTGATAAGTTGTTTGATGAAGAGTAGGAAGGTCTAGAGCGAGGCTTCCCAAACTTTTTAGCCAGCGGACCCCTTTGAGAGAACAAAATCCAGGGCAGACCCCTCGTTTTCAAGTACTTGACATTAGATAATTATAGTATATGTAGCAAGTTTTATAAATCCTTAGGTGAGAGCGAGGTATATCACTATGAAAACAGACATTAGATTTACATACTTAGCTTTATTCACAAAATCCACAACTCAAAAATCAAATTGGAATCAGGTATGTAAAGCTTGAGTCAAATTCGAAAGTAATCATTTGAACATTAATGATTATTGAATTAATGGGAAGAGTGAGGTTGTTTTAGCCTGCACAATTTGGATAAGTTGGGTTTAATTTTCGATAGCGGGAGACAGGATGTTGGGTTCAGCTCCTAAACAGCTTCTGTATTTAGTTTTGCTGGCTGTATAGATAGAAAATCCCGATTTGCAAAAGTTGTGGCAAATGGAAGAGAACATTTCGCTTTTTGTAGCAAGGGGTTGACATTTTTTATTTTCCAGATGGAGCCAAAAATGAGGGTAACAAAGTCGAAAGTAGATTTCAAGTTGGAGTATGAATTAATGTCTACCAAACATTTGAATTTACTTGAAGATAGACTGTTGGCTTTGTCGAAATTGAAAACGGTTTGACCACCCATTCATGGTCTTGTGCATTATGTCTCAAGCTGTTGGGTAGTAGTACAATTTTTCTGTTTAAAAATAATTTAACACAGGAAAACACTTCACTACTTCCTTCTCAACAGATTCACCCCAAAACTGGATTTTTCTTTTGAAGGTGTGAACTTTATCATTAGCATCAAAAGTTGTGATACTTTTCCCTTGCAAAGAAAGACTCATATCAGTCATTTTAATCAAAATATCTGATAAATATGCCATTTCTCATCATTGAAAGCATTGGTCAATTTGATATTTGTGTCTAACAATAGAGATAAGACTTCAAAAAAATAATTCCTGTAATCGTGAAAGTTTTTCCATGAGACAACCACCTCTAGGTTCTCATAGTATGGTGAAGCAGGGAATGATGAAGGTTTCACATATCGTCACTTAGTATTATGAAAAGTCTAGTCTTCGACGGCCGTACTTAATATGATTAATAATTTGCACAGACTAATCTAAAATTTTCTTAAAAATGGCTGGCATTTGTTTCATAGCTAAAGCATGTCTGAAGAACTCAATGACTGCTGCTCCAAAATAAAAACAACTTTCATTTTCAATACTCATGTCGGTAATTTGTAATTTTATTCATTGTACGATTATTTTTGTAATTATTAATTTTCTCAAAGTTCGCCGCAGACCTCAGTTTTGTGAAGTTCTGTACTAGAGGACAGGACCTAAGATACTTTCTTATGGTACTCCTGCATGTGTGCAATAGCTGAGAGAGAGGCCGTGGATGACTTGGAAATATCTATAGTTAGGTACGATTTTAGGATCGGGTAATCTTAAGATGCCAGAGCAGTTATAACTACAAACCCAGTTTGTGAATAGCACCATACTTTTCAACTATTGAACGATGATGTTTGACTTTTTGTGTCTCTCACAGTAAGATGCCCTTGGATTATCTAAAATAAGAATTGTTTTGAACCAATTACTTTATTAGTTTCATCTATCAAAACCATCGACTTTTTACAAGTTTGGTGAAAAGTTCATAACTTGGAATTTGAAAAAGCAAATGCCATGTCTTTCTTATTTGACATTTTACAACATGGATTGCCATTTTCTATAATTCGTGTGTGATTCAAATTTGGCTGTGACAAACCTTGTTCGTTCATCATCAGGGTGAAGTGCTTTTAGCCTCATTGACATTTTATTGAGTTGAAACTTCTTTTAAGTTGATGGCGTTGAGGGTTTTTTCTCAATATCATTTTCAATGTAAATAATTGTGACAAATTGAAATTATATCAAACACTCTAAGCCAGATTTTATAACGAATTCAAGAAACATTTATACAAGTTGACACCAGTCTTTCTTATTCTTAATTCACCATAATAAACTGCACAATAACATTTTAAATTAAATTATGTAATTCTCATCTATTTCTCGCCTTGATGAAGTTGTGAATTAACGATATCAGTGTTAAATTCGTAATGAAACAAGCAATAAAATTGTAATTAAATACTTACAGAAGATTTGCTTATGTCGATCAATTTTCCGGATTTCATTTTAAACAATGTTCATTGTTTATAGTTCGGAATGTATTTTAGAAAATATTAAATGCTGAATATTAAAATTAAGTCCGTTTTGTTTATTTACATTCAAAATACGGTTGATAAGACTTAGCCGAGGTTACACACGTGCTTTCTCGTTCGGTGGGTGGCTCCGACCAAGTGCTGTGATGTCATTGCATGGCTGATCATAGATTGGTGAATCCAATATACTAGGTCCTCCAAAAAGGTCTTCCTTTTGGCCTACCGAACGTACATAATCAAAATAAAGGGTTTTTATTTTTATAGCATGCTAATAGCATAGTAAATTTATAGTTTTTTCAATAATACAAAAGTAAAATTTGGAATTTCGTAGGCCGATATCTCATGAGAAAATGCTGACCCTTGAAAAAAAAATCTCGTTAAATAGCATAAAACCTATGCATTTCAGTTCCCTCGATGTAACGACTTTTTTCCGACTTCGAGATCGATAAAACATCTTATAATCAGTACTTTAACATTGAAATCCCGATGAACGTATGGATAGAGTAGTAGGGGTTTCCTTATAAGGAAGGACCGAGCTCCATGTCAATACTATACCTCAATAGTCTATTGTGACCAGTTTTGGATGCTTCCAGGATTTTGTTTGTCACACCCGATGACATTGACCAAATGAATATTGCCGACAAAGGGTGGAGAAAGGTAATGGTAGCCACAATAAAAAATTGCTTCATGCCATAGAACCGGAAAATGAAATCCAAAGATGGCATCTCTCACTTATTTTATTTTCAAAAATACATGCAATGTTTACAAGAAAAACAAAAAAATAAAAACTTTCCTTATATACTATATACGTACAATACACTACAAAAATTTAAAGTTCTATACAATGTAATTTTTTACTGTTTACCGGTGATGTATCATAATCTCGATTTAGTGAACATGTAGATATGTCGTAGTTATCCTTCTATGCCATTGGGCATTGCGGGATGTCATAAACAAATAATATGACATTCAATATTTAATTTATTTTATTAAAATTTTATGAATTTACAATAATTTTGTTAAATTAGTTGTACAAAAAAAATCTATGTCAAAATAAAATATTTTTCAAACGTTACCATATAATACATACAATACAATATATATTTCGTAAGAAGACAAAAGAAAGAAGAATTCAGAAAGATTACTTGTTTTAAAAGAATTGTTAATAAGAAAAACGAGATTTAATTGTATGACTTTTTATTGTAATCGTAACTTTGTTTTATATTCAAACTTTAAGTAAATCTACACAGGGTTCAATAATTGTTTGGTTATTTAAAAACGCCGTGTGAAGATTATTTTTTTGCATAGCTAATTGTTGTATAACTAATTAATAATTAATTGCGTAAAGATTAGTGTATTAACTGTACTGAATAATTAGAATGAAGATATGTAAAAGTCGAAACAACTCATTTCGAGCTTTCCTTGGACGCTCAAGAATCCCCGACAAAGAAAAGTTCAAGAAATGCAAAATGGTGAAGCCAGAGGACAGTAACTTCCACGGGAAAGCAAATCCTTCGTACGGCCCTCTGGGGTGGTTTGCAAAAGGTGAGTGATACCAAACGGGTAGTCACTGGTGAGTCAGCGGTTGAGTGAAGTTGAGTGACACTGGTCGGATGGTCATGAGTCAGCTTAGTGTTTCTACACAGTGATGATTAGAAGTTTGATTTGGAACGCCACGGTAGTTGGTTGCAAAAATGAAGACAACAATTGGGCTAGACCTTTGTTAGGTTATTATTATTTTGGGCCAATGCTTGAGCGCCGCTGACTGTCAGATCTTGTGATAATTTGTTGTTGTGGTATGCCCAAAATAATAATAGTTTCCAATTTATTTGTTTTTGGAGTCCATCTGTTTTTTAGAAGGGGTTTGTTCAATCATGAGCTTACTATGTTTGTCATCTCTATAGTTTGGATATAACTCCTTTTGTTTTGCGTGTTTCAATTTTCCAAGTATAGTCGAGAGATGAATGAGTCATCCTAGGACCAAGACAAGAGGGAATTTATTTTCTATTCCCAAATTTAAAACCGTCTTAGTTTAAATATAAGACGTTGGATCAATGAAGAGCCTGATAGTCAACAATGTACAAAAAAATATCTCTTCCATTTTTTGTACGTTAATTGGCAGCAGTACATATCCTTGACAAATGCAGCCAGTCATTTGGTGAGAATTCCACAAAACCAGTTGAATTTGTCGATAGCGAGAATATGAACTGTGATAGCCAAGAGAGGAAGTCTTGTAGTCGCAGTTTTGTAGTAACAATTATGATTAAAGATGGGTGGGATATAGATCAGAAGCTGAGTGGGTCATCCGGTTTTTTATTATTGTGATGAAGGTGGGCTTCCATTTGTTGTTCTTACATTTCCAAATGGTGAATTTTTTCGTTTGTAAATGACCTTTACTATCATCCTGATGTATTGCCATGCAGTGAGAGTCACCTATTCCTATGTTAGCAGTGTACACCCAATGTGCAAACTATATTTTGTAATAAAGCTTGGAATTCTTTATTTTTCTTATTCCTTAGACACACAGACAAGAAAGTATTAAAAATGAGTTACCATCCCTGGCTTTTCATGTTTAACTCACAAACTTTCCATAAGTCGGGGAAACTTTTCTGTATGAGATACACGTGTTGCTGGATTTCCTAGCAGTTTCTAAACACCGCCGGGAATCACGTCAAATGGAAGCAATTTTAACATAAGTTGCACCTAAATTAAGATAGCGTGTCAAAATTGAATTTTGCTTGGAGGAAAAAAGCTCGGAATGAAAAGTTGAGTTTACAATGAAAGTTGAAAGTTATAAATCAAGTTCTTATAAAGTCCACACAATTCTATCCTGTGTGTATATAAGCAAATATATTTATATCCACTATATAATCTGTAAATAACTAATATAGCATTTTTTTAGGGGGAGTTAAGAGAATATTTTTTATGCGATAATTTTCCAAGTATAGTCGTGTGATAAAATCTAACATTTGACCCGAATTGTAATTGCATTGTATCTTTCCAAATCGAAAATATGACAGAATTTGTAAAAATAGCTCGTTTTTTTGTTTTCACTTTATTTTAAGAAAGTAATTTTAATTGGGACCATCACGCTTGTAGTTAATCGTGTTACCCTTTGTTATTTGTGTTTGTAATAAATTGCACACTAAAAGATTTAACACAATCCAAAAGTTGAGATATTAAAATTATCAGTGATGTTTCGAGTTTTTAAAAATCAGGCAAATTATTCGTTTTTGTTTGTGATGAATTGTTCGGAAATAAGAAAAAGGACGTAAAAAAACGACGATCTACATTAGTAAGGTTAGGCTTTAGATTCACTAGTTTTCGTGGTTCGCTTGACCAATTAATATCTTTCAATTAATTAAGGTTAGTTGAGATAAAAAAGTCAGTGTCAGGAGCGGGATTCGAACCCACGATCTTCGGCTTGATACGCTGCTACTCTACCACTTGAGCCATCGTGACTTCGATCCACTCGGACTCTAACTTCCCATCTCAATCGCACCTTTTGAATTTTCCCTCCTTTTTGCCATCCTTCCCCCTCAGGGTTCGAGTCCCGCTCGTGACACTGACTTTTTTATATCAACTTAAAGCCTTAATTGGTTGAATGTTATTAATTGGTCAAGCGGACCACGAAAAATAGTGAATTTGATTAAAGGATTCAACCAGGTTTTTCCTTCCACTTCTACTTTTAGGCATTAACAGGTGATGAACTGATGCCTAACCTTAAAAAAGTTTATGAAATAGCACAACGGTTAGCACAACCCAGTTCGACCTGGTTTCATTCTTTCTGATCCTTTTAAGGATCGGGCCGGGGGTTGTGGGTTCGAGTCCCGCTCGTGACACTGACTTTTTTATCTCAACTTAAAACCTTTAATCAAAGTTACAGTCGTGTTGGTAAATAAATAAACACTTGCACTATTACGGTTTCGAACCCAAAATAAAAAAACAACAACAAAAAAACCAATAAATTCATTGAAAATATCCTTAAGTTTTTTGTTTAATTTTCCACCTTACCAATCCGTCATCCACGATTTTTTCCTTTCCTCCATTAATTTCTCATCTTTGACAAAAGAAATTAAAAATGAAATTGCACCCCTAAAAAGGATATTAAATGGAGTACGTTTTCTGAAATGTGATGCTCTCTAGGTATGGAAATAGTCGTTTAAAATCACCATATTATGTTTTTCAACTTTGAAAAAATTTTTTTTTTCAAAGTTCTCGCTACTAAAACGCTTATTTCACGAACGTTTACAAGTTTAGTATTGATAACATCTTATTGGAAATTTAACGTAGTTTTCAATGGCATCAACGGATTTATCCAAAAAATTTAGTTCTGGAGTTATCATTGTTTACTTGAAGCAAGGTCGTGAAATCTACCAAATCAGAAAAAGTGGAAGAACCCCGAAACTGTGGACATTCGGACCATAGTTAATTAGGACTTTTTGGTTCCATTTTGAATTTAGAATCTACTGGCAAAGTTTGTAACATGAATAGTCGAACACCCTGTATATACATCTATTATATTTCGTGGGCCGATCGACCAAATATTTTCTTTCAAATAATTTATCTTATGTAAGGTATTGGTTTAGATAAGAAAAAGTCAGCGTCACGAGCGGGATTCGAACTCACGACCTTCGGCTAAATACGCCGCTGCTCTACCAATTGAGCTATCGTGACCCCACGTATATTTTTTTTCTCTTTTCTATTCTTTTAAACGCATTCGGAATTTTCATTTTTTTAACGACCAACGGTAGACGGATTTGTTGATCCATTGTCTATTTATTTATGTTTTTCTTCTTTTTTGGTTTATATTGTAAATATAACAGTTTTTCATTCATTCATAATTTTAAAAAATAACCAAATTAATAAATAACTGCGAATTTAGAGATCCTGGTTGTCTCTTGACACTTTGACACTAGGGGTGAATTTTGGCGCAATTTACTGTCCAGTCAATTGATTATTGACCCATCTGATTAAGCGACTGAGCCGCATTTCACTTTTAACCAGATCGTTCCCTGAACAAAATGGTTTCGCGTTTGGGCGCAAATGTCACGTTTGTTATAAATTTCATGGTAACGAATCGGTAAAGAA